AAGCCTTCGATGCGTTCGACCATGACAAGAAGGGTAGCATCGGTACTGACATGGTGGGAACAATATTGACCATGTTGGGGTACGAGCTCAGTGAGAAGACGTTGAAGGAGATCATCACAGAAGTGGACGAAGATGGTAACAAGAAAACCTAACACAAAACCAAACTGTGGTTTTTGCAAACTGAGACATAAATTTGAGAAATCAAATCCAGACCTCAGCAATTTGTTTAAGAATATAAAAAATAATAACAAGCATTTCAGTAATCATTCCAATTAATACTGATTAATATTTTGAGAATGATAAAAGGAGTGAAATTTTGGTGACAGGATCTGGACAACTGGAATTCGAGGAGTTCTGCACGTTGGCTGCCCGGTTCTTAGTAGAGGAGGACACAGAGGCGATGCAACAAGAGTTGCGCGAAGCATTCCGATTGTACGATAAAGAAGGGAACGGGTACATAACCACGGCAGTGTTCCGTGACATTCTCCACGAACTGGACGACAAGCTGACGCCGCAGGAGCTGGACATGATGATAGAGGAGATCGACGCTGACGGTTCAGGAACACTCGACTTTGACGGTACCCACATAACACATTCCAGTTGATAAACCTGATGCCTAGCCTGATCTCTGATGACTCAATAATTTATCAATTATTAATAACAAATAATTAACTTATGAGACACTCTGTATTTATCATTGATTAACATTACGTCATTAATTCACACGATTATTCATGAAGGTACGTTCTCTGTTGCAGAGTTTATGGAAGTCATGACTGGCGGTGACGACTAGATTGCATGGCTGTTAATTAGGATGGACGGCGGCTACGATTAAGCTTGGCTACGATTGACACGAGTGCAACGCTGTTCCGGACACGGAAGCCAATCGGCTCTGTGTTGTTTGATAACCGCGAACGTTTCCGGGTCGGTTGAACGGCAGCTTCCAGTGTCCTTACAACAGCAAACGCCGGGGCGAGAATTTAAAAATGATGGTACAAAAGACAAAAACGAGAGCAAAGATTATACAATCTTCCATCAGGGGATTTAATACACACACACACACTGTCTCGGTTCGATAAACAATATGTACTGAGTAATGTAACAATTTATATGATCTAAGATTGCAATATACAAATCTATAAAAATTC